GAAGGGAAGGAAACTCTTTTCGGAGCTTTATTCCCACTGGTTTTTCAGTTTTCAAAACATGACTCAAAGGAGGCAAGTGACCTCTATTCAGAATGCATGGGCTAAAGCCTTAACCACGAAATTGATATGCAAGAAGCATATATAGAGAGCTTTTAAAACTGAGTTTAACAAACAAGCTGCTGACCAAAGTGAATCAACCAAGGAGCCGTGCAAGACACAGCAAGTCAGCAAGAGAATAAACAAACAGCATGTGCTGTCTGTTAACTAAACACAAGAAGCCGCTCTTAGGACAAGGTCTGAAGAGAGGAATAAAAGGTAGCTTATAACCCATCACTTGGATAAGGTGGTAGACAAAGAGAGATGACAAGATTAGGGAATGAGATAACCAAGGAGCATGGGTGTCGCAAGTTCCCATTTGAAACAGCAAGTTTATTAAAATAAAAGACTTTTTTATAGGGAACAAGAGTATGGGTTATTAAATAAACACAAGCAAGCTTCCTAGAAGGCAAAGAGCCGTTTGGAAAGGGAGTAAAAATACTCTCAAGTTTTTGTCAGATTTTAGGAAGGGAAGAATTAAGAAATCTGTGAACCCTCGCTCCCTCTCTGTACTCTCACGAACCCTCTCTCTCTCAACTCTCTCTCATGTTTCTGAAGTGCCATCTCCTTCGCGCCGTCTAGGACACTGAACTCATCGAGATCACCATCTCCGTCTTGCTGTTCAGGTCACCGAGCTCGCCGAGGTCACCATCTCCCTCACGCTCTCCATGTCACCGAGCTCTCTGAGCTCGCCATCTCCCTCGTGTTACTTCTCTAGCCAAATTCGTGTCTTAGAGTTCTGTTGCAGGTTTCGTTGAACATCTTCAAGGTTAGTCTCCTCATCCTCTCTCTCTCTCTCTCTCTCTCTCTCTCTCATTTTCTCTGATTCCACAATTCCATATAGAGAAAAAGGTATTCCAGAGTTAGGGTTTCGATTTATTTGGGCTATGGAAATTTTTTTGGGGTTTGCCAAATGGTCTTGATTTGATGTTGTGTGGTGAAGGATTTGAAAGGATTGGTGGCCTAGTAGCCAAAGTTGGTCTGTACAGAGACGACATCGAATTAGTCGCTGCCCAGAGTTTCAATATTAGTCTGTTTCAATTTCAACCTCCATATTTGTATAACCAATCTATGGTTTAATAGATTTGATTTCTCTGATATTTATTTCCTTGAAAAGTTAATTATATTTTGATATATTTCTGAAAGGTTTGGGAATTTAATTTATCCAGTTAACATCTCGATTGTCTCCAAGCAAGAGGAGAGAGATGGATGTCATGAAGTTGTAAGTTGTTGGTTACTGTATTATCTCCAACCTTTGTAATCTGGGTCTTATGTTTCTTAAGACTGGATTCCTCCCTTTTGGAACCAAAGGGGAATCTGTAGTCTTGTTGGTACAAGTAATTTAAATCATGTTGCTGCCTTCCTCTCTGGTACAATATAAAGCTATGTTTAATGTCTTTTTCAATGTTTTTAAGGATGATGAGTGACTCAAATGTGGAGACAATAAATGGAAAGTTTTTAATCTTTGTTTGTCTTTTGGTAGACATTAATTGAGTTTGCTCTTAGATGAATGCGTTTTGGAAACTAATGTTTTCTTTTTCTCCACTAGTCTTTTAGTGGCTGAGGCTCTAATGCCTATTAGCTTTCGTTTAGACATTGTTTAAAACACATTTTGGTATAATATAGTTTGTGTGATGCGGTGGTTGCAGGTCTTTATGAAGGTGGGGTTTGGAAAATCAGCGTTGAGCTTCCCGTCCCGGTGCTATACATATAAATCTTCTTACTAATGGCTTAATGAACAAGATTTTCCACCCAAATGTTGATGAGCTGTGAGTATTCTGCAGTTTAAAAAAGAAAAATCACCTCTCATTACATCCGATTAGAATTATCTTCCTAGGATATTTTGAGTTCTAATTGTTACTAGTAGCCAGCACATTGGGTCAAATAAAGGCACAAGTATTAAGTTTACTTAGAATGGTGTAATACTACTGCTGATTATCAAATGCTTTGAATACGTTTGTGGAACTGACAACGTACTTTCTTTTGTGGTGACAAGCTCTCTCTCTCCCTCTCTCTCTCAAAAGGATATAGTTGCAGTTTTGTTATGAACTTGAAATTGTTATGACTAACTTCATTGCATCTACAAATTCGTTTCAGATGTGTATTCAAAACCAACAATGAAGAATGGTTTAAATCAGCAAAACCAAAGCTAGGGCCTGATGCATCAAATCGTGTTCGTGCAGCAATTGACTCTACACATGAAAACATGAAAACCCTTATATAAAGTAAGGACTAAGATGAGAGGTGCCCTTCAAATTCTCTTAAAGGTATCCCAACTCCATCAAATTGTTTTATTCGTTTAATATTTTATAGATTTATCCACTTCATTGGTGTTAAGATCTAATAAAGTGACTCCCAATAAATAAATTTTGGTAAGGTTAGAAACGTTTTAAATGTCATTACATTGTAACTGCATAACATGCTTTCATCTTTCTTAGTGTACTCTCTGTGTATAGAGATATTCCTTTGGTACTGTTGTTTGTTTTTCTTTTCTGTAAATATATTTGACTTACAGGTGTTGCTCATCATTGTTGGAGTAATTTTCAGGGTTCTGCTTAGTTGATGCTGTTATTTTTCTGTTTTAGTTTTAGTTTTTCTGTTGTGGCCATCGTATCCACCTATGTTTTTTCTTGTCTTATGCAATAAAATTTTCTTTCTACTAAAAAATGTTGGAGTAGTTTTTGTTTAATGAGAAATTTAAACTGAAATGAAAGTACTTTTTGTGGCCATAACTGAAAGGAAGGTACTTATAAAATGATGTTCCATCACCTAGCAATGGGTTGAACGTTTAAAGAAAATTTCTCAAAGGTAAAGGGTAGTCAATAATACAACTCCTAGGCATTCAATGTGTGTGTGTGGAGTGAGCTGTAAAATTATCTCTGATAAGTTGATCATTTAAAGCATGTGTCTAGGTTTTAGGGATGAGAAATATTAAGTCTGGCTGAATAATGGGAAGGTATAAATGTTTTTTTGTTGTCGGTAATTTAAGAATGTATCTTGGATACTCTTAGTCTCTATCCTATATTGCTTGGGTTGGAGAATTGGAGATACCTATAGTTAAAACCTGGTTCCTTGATTAATCACTTTAGTAACATGACAATCTTATAACAATTATAGAAGTCAGCTAAGTTTGTTCCTTTGGTTTATTCAATTTGTGTTTATGGCGTTTCTTTTGTGGTCGGATAGTAATCCCTTTGTAAGTGATTAGAATCAATGAAATATATTTGGATAAGATTTGCATTTGTGGAGTTTGATGTTAATTTTGCAAGTCTTGTAGAAGGACCTGATGTTGCTGATATTGTTACAAGGGAAAGGAATACAACAACTTGGAAAATGTGCAAGAAGGCAGAGCTAAGTCAACCCAAGAACAAATTGATGAAGTTCATATCAAATTAGAAGAATTTGTGAACTCCTTTATTTCTAATTATAGGTAGGAAGTATGAATGTAATAGAATAAAGATTGGTTGACTATGTAATAACTATTGAATCTTCAAATTTTATGAAAGAAATAATTTTTGATTGTATGTATTCGTTAATAAAGCATTATAATTTGTTTTCTAGTTAAAAACGTTTTATAGAATCGTAGGAAACAAAAAACTACAATGTAACAACTTGGGAACATATTAGACGACAAATTTAAAGATAATAAAACGATGGTTTTATTGGCAAAACCGTCGTTTGTACATATAATCAATGACTATTTTTAACACAATGTTGCCGTTTTTATATACAATCAATGACGGTTTTTACAAAATACCAACATCTTTACTCATAAATGACAACGGTTTTAATTAACAAAAATCATCGTCTTTACCCATCAATTACGACGGTTTTTTCACAAAAACTGCCGTCGTCTATATAGCAAAACAACGACGGTTTTTTCAAAAAAAACTATCGTTTATTATATTTAAAGACGACGGTTTTGAGTAAAAGCGTCGTCTTTACCAATAATAGACGACGGGGATTTACCGTCGTGGTTTTATGCATAAAAAGATGCGGTCGATTTCACGACGGTTGAAAAACCAAATACACGACGGTGAATTACCGTCGTCTATTGCGATTTTTGTAGTAGTGCTTATTCCTTCCAATCTTCTCTGGATCTTAATTTAGCTCCCCCAACACAGACAAGGGTGCAATCACTTGCACCAGTCTGGGCGCCCTATGTTGCATCCTTAAGAGGATCCGTGACCGTCAATGACTTGTTACTCCTTGACAACGATGTTGCCATTGGAGTTGCGAGGAGTCTGGTGACTCCCAGAGATCTGAGCATACTGGGAATGAGAGATGACAACCGCCTAGTGAGCGATGTCGTGGAAATGGGCGTGTAGAGTGCTGCATGTATCGCAAGTGTGGGGCATCGCCTCATTGGAAAAACTGATGAGGTGCAATTTCTAAAAGCTCAGTTGACGGCATAGCAAAAATTGGTTGATGAATATCAGTGCGACAACAGAAGATTGAAGAAGGATAAGGCAAAAAGGGAAGAGGAGCACTGATGCTAGCTTGAGTTTTTGCGGGCAGAAAATGAAAAGTTATCAAAACTAGTAACTTTTTATGCTAAAGAAACGCAAAAACAGCAAGAGGCCTCGGAGCGACCAAGTAAACGCAAACGCGGAGATGACGACTCTAGTTTTGCTGAAGCTAAGAGAGTGATTTTTGGGAGCGAGAGTGATGAGCCCCAAGAAGCGGTGCGTAAAAATCCGGAAGAGGATATTCAGAGTGCAAAACTAAAGGCTCCTTTGGTGGAGTTAAGAAGCATGGCGAGATGATGAAGAAGAAGATGAAGAAGAGGATGAAGAAGAAGAAGAGAGAGAAAAAAATGTTGTTTGTTTGTTTTTTTTTTTAATGCAGCCTGTTTGAAGTGAAATAAAATTTGTTTTTAACACTCAGTAAAAAAAGTTAACTAACCACACCACGTAAAAAAAAAAAAATTACTTAACAAAAAAAAAAAACTAACTTAATAAAATTGTATGATTAATTGTTGAGATGCAAATACAAAGATCAAATAGAATAACACCATAAATAAGGCAACGTGATAGTACCCACTTAACATGCCGCACCCACCTGGAAGGAAGAACACCCTTGGAATAAATCAAGACCAGGAGAGAGGGAGGGTAATGGTTTGCCCATCTAATAGATAAATTAATAAAATGGAGTATGAGAAAAATAGAGAACAACACATGGTGAACAATAATGTTAGAAACAGAGTATGAGAAAAATAGAGAACAAGAAAGAAGGTGGAGTATGAGAAAAAAAAAATGAAGTGCAGAGAGATGGTAGTAGAATATGGGATGAAGGGAATAAGGAAAAAAGGAGATGTCTTCCCATCATAGCAAAAAACAACATCTTTAAAGACAAATGATGATGTCTTCCCATCATTGCAAAAAAAAAACCCCTTGATGTTGATGATGTTCAAATGGCAAGCTATTTTAAGCTTTTCTCTGTATATAATTTATTTTCAAGTTGTATGTCACTATATTGGCCCGTTATAATATATTTGATAGGACAAAATTAGCTTTTATAATAATTGGCTGGTCTGAGATAGCAGTGGATAAGATAAAGCTTTGGAATGAATGTCCCTTATAATTCTACCACTTTCAATTTTAGCCTTGTCCAAATTCCCCCTCCTTCTTACTCCCCCTTTAGAAAGTTTTAATTAAATAGCAATTTGAGTGTTACACGTGAGGTTTATTCTTTTTGCTTTTTAATGGTCATTTGGGTCAGTAGTTAGAAGATTATATATGCGCGGAATCTTCGATTAAACTGAGTGTAAATTTTACACAGTTATTTTCACTTCCAAAAATATTAGCCCATTATATGCCAGCCGACATGTCTCTTTGTCTTGTACTTTTTCATTTGTTTAATATTACTTTGACAAAAACAACGAATAAAAAAAGAGATTGTAGAGAGAATTGAGATATAGAGAAAGCATAGAAGTCTGATGTTTTCATTGAGTCATTTTCTATGTCTTCTTCGTTGGTATATCTTTACAAGTAGGAAATGATGCCTCTTTATAGGCAAGGCAAATGGCTCCCGTGAGTCACAAGGGAGACATCATGATTCTCCTATCCAACATAATTATTTCATCTTTTGACTAATACAACCTCTTTTACTCATGTGGGCTTCATCTCTCACTTTACAACACTCCCCCTTGGAGACCACATGTATGGAATATGCCTCGTTAAAAACCTTGCTAGTAAAACCCAGTGGGACAAAAACTGGTCAAAGGGAAAAAGAGTACATAACCATGTGTAACATAAAATTCTGTGTATATTGATGCGCGTGCGACCCAGCCTCGTTAAAACCTTGCCAGGAAAAACCTGGACGAAGGAAAAAGAGTACAGTGTGTGAAGATCTTTACTGACAGCACGCTCCCCCTGATGCTTGACAAAATATCTTTAAGATATACTGTTGATCATCTTTCTGAATATCATAGTTGGCACTGCTTCTGTGAGTCAATCTTGTAATATTGTTGAATGCTCCCCCTGAAGAATATCTCCCCCTGAAATCTTCATGACTAACTTTTTCCAGTAAGCGACTATAGAAATTTTCAGAGTCCGCGTATCCAACAAAATCTGGGCTATTTGTAAGTTCACTTGAAAAGAATATGCATGTATATGGTGTTATGCGGAGATAGTATCAAATATGCCTCACATCATCCCAAAGTGTTGGTGATGGAGTTGAGCTTTATCTGGAAAATACAATGTCCGGTCCAGTATATTTCCGGAAAATCATTTAAGTGCCTAACGGATAATCCACATAAAGATGCTTCAATACTTTCTTAGTATAAGCAAGAATCTCGTTGGCATAATGGTCGATCTTCAGGCCGAGACAAATATTTCTTGAACTCTTCAGGAGTTTTAACCAAGTATTAACTCTTCAGGAGTTTTGATCAATTATCAACTCTTCGGGAGTTGTAATGTGTTGCAATCATATTATAATTAATGTACTCACTAAGGCAATTTATACATATTAGTATTGAGTACAGATTTGTGCTTTAGGCACATGTCCTTCAGGGACTTGCTTCATGCAATTTCAATCCTTCATGGATTTTATTTAAGGGTTTACACTTCATGACACATTATATAGCTTAAAATCCAGCTATTAGTTCTGTTTGTACATCTTTAGGGAATCGCTTCTGGCAATACGCTCTGTTCATTTAATAACCCTTAAAGATATTATGTTGGTCTCCGTAAATGTGCAATAAGAAGGCACGATTGCATCTGTAAATACAGAGAAACCCAACTTTTCTTGTTTCTGCCAGAAACATTGTGTCATACAAAGTGGGTATATTCCCTTTTATTCCGAACACCCAAGTATAACTTTCAGTATTAACATCTTTTGGGGTTCGTACTATGGGTTTGCTCTTTCATGCTCATTCTCATCTGTAATGGAATTGCCACTTTCCATTTTGGCTAATGATATTGTCGACATTTAATAATAGAACGTAGTTCCAATCAACAGAGCCCATTGATGATTTGAGTAGCTACTCCAAAACCAAAAATTGTTATTCATCAATTCATGATCCCACCATTCTCATGTGCATGCGCATGCATCAATTATAAGCATTTCTTTGCTTTGGGGTACCCAAGCCACTTCAGGGGGCTTTTATTATGTGAGAATGTGGATTATAACCTCCAATGGAGCGTTATCTTACAGCAGGGCATGGATAATCTCCATTTAGGGAGTTGGAACATTTAGAACCCATATATCTGTCATGCTGCAGGCATGCCACAGATTAATACATACATGTCAATCAATTGTCCTTATGGGACTTTAAATCATATAATTTGCTACGCATTAGATGTGCACCGTATTAATATTGACATGTTAAAGGATTGTCCTTCCATGACTTCAATCCATATCATTTGCTACGCAACAGGCGTGCATCATATTGATCACTGCTATACCCATATTCTGTTCTTATGGGACTTTAATCTGTGCAATGTATTGTCAATGTATCCAACTTGCAATTTGTGAAATTTGCATTAATAATTCATGGATACATATTAGAATGATACAAGCCATTCTTTTGGAATGGTCATAATACAAGTCGTTCTTCTGAGATGGTCCTTTGCATGACGTTCTTCTAGAACGGTCTTGTCTCCCCATTTGGTTACCTTTAAGGATGTAGTGCAAAATATCAAAATAAGAATACAAGCATGAAATAACACAAGTATTTCTTACATCCTTAGGTGGGAGAAACTTTTCTCAAGTATCATTCAAGCTCGTATCGGCTCTGCAAATACAATGTAATGCTTGATGATCTAGTTATATCTTGCAAGAGCAAAAAATTACAATTCTTTTGTCTTTGTCAAAAAATAACCCTCCGTGTTAGGATCACTGCATGGATTCTTTCTTCGGATGTTCATTCTA